GGGAGAGAGGAAGGAAGCGAGGAGAAGAGGAAATGTAAATAGTCTCAGTAATCCCAGAACCACTCTGGGTAAAATGGTACCTTTAGACAGTAACTGGGTTTCCGACTCCTTGAAAAGCCTCCAACAGGCGGCGTGGGGAACAGTGCCCAGACGCCCAGAAACTAGATGGGGACGGGGACCCGTTGACGCCGATGGGGGGTTATCAGCCACCAGTTTCAAGTGCCCTGGCCCCGGGGCTGGAACGGACTGGGCTGTGGCCTCCAGGCACTGGGGAGTTGGGGGGGTGCACTCACCCCGCCTCCGGACCCTAGATTGGGCTTCTTCCAGCTGGGCAACCTGGCCCCTTTGCCGAGGCGGACTACCAGCAGCGGGCTGGCGCTGAGCCAGCAGGACGAGGGCGCCAACACGCGCCATGGGCCTGCACTTGCAGGAGAAGATGGGCTTATGCGAAGCAGAAGCAGAGGTGCGTGTGGCCTCCCGGCCCCACAGGTGGGGTTGGGGCCAGGCCCTAGGGGCCAGGGTGGGCAGGAAAGCCAAGCCTGCTGGATCCTGGGTCAATCAAAGTGCCTTCTCTCCCAGGGATGGGCGCGTCGTTCTCCCTGTAATCCACACACTTTGTGAGGCCGAGGCCTAGGCCAGGTGGAATTGGCGAGGTGGGAGTTTTGGACCAATCTGGCCAAATATGGTGAAACTCCCCCAATCTCTATTAAAAATACAAAAAAAATTAGCTGGGTGTCGGTGGCATGCACCTGTAATCCCAGCTATTGGGGAGGCTTGAGGCCGGGGGGAAATCCCTTGAGGCCAGGAGGCAGAGCTTGCAGTGAGCCAAAGAATGTGCCCACTGCACTCCAGCCTGGGGCGACAGAGCAAGACTCCTCCCACCCCGCCTCCTCCCCCAAAAAAAAAAGCTCCTCTTCACCAGTTTTGATGCTTCCCTTTTTTTTTTTTTTAAACGGAGTCCGCCTCTGTCCACCCCAGGCTGGAGTGGCAATTGCACAATCTCAGCCTCTTCAAACCTCCACCTCCTGGGTTCAGCAATTCTCCTGCCCTCCAGCTTCCCCCAGTAGCTGGGATTAAGGCGACTGGCCCACCACAACCTACCACACCCAGCTAATTTTTGTATTTTTAGTAGAGACGGGGTTTCACCATCCTGGCCAGGCTGGTCTCAAACTCCCCACCTCAGGTGATCTGCCTCCCAAAGTGCTGGGATTAAAGGCGTGAGCCACCGCGCCCTCCCTATGCTGGTTTTCTTTTTAATACTTTTACTACTCAATAACTTGGAACTTAATCATAGTCAAATTAATATTTTCATTTTAGCTGATGGGTTTATGGCATTCTCAGAAAGGCCTTCCCTACCCCAAGATCATAAAAATATTCACTGATGGTGGAGTTTCACACTGGCATCTAAGTGTTGGCTCCCTCAGGGACGTCGCTGGTGGAGAGAGAGGAGAGGGGCGTGGTGGGGGGAGCAGACCCAGCCTGGTTTCCGTCTAACTCCTCAGTGGGGCCCAGAAGCCACCCTTTTCCCCACAGATGGCCGAGCTCATGGCAGCTCGGAATCCACTGTGTCCTGCAGGCAGTTCCAGAAGGCAGAGGACCACTTCTCCACGGCCATCCGGCACAACCCCCAGAAGGCCCAGTACTACCTGTACCGGGCCAAGAGCCGGCAGCTGCTGCAGAACATTTTTGGGGCACGCCAGGATGTGGCCACTGTCCTGCTCCTCAACCCCAAGCAACCAAAGGTAGGTTCCTGCCACGTCAGGGGTGTAGGCTCGGGAGTCATGCCTGGTGCATAAAGATACTCCTTGGCCCCCAAAGAAATCTGGTTTGATAACAATCATAAGGCCAGGCATGGTGGCTCACGCCTGTAATCCCAGCACTTTGGGAGCCAGAGGCAGGTGGATCACCTGAGGTCAGGAGTTTGAGACCCGCCCAGCCATCATGGTGAAACCCCATCTCTACTAAGAATACAAAAATTAGCCAGGCGTGGTGGTGCACGGTTGTAATTACAGCTACTCAGGAGGCTGAGTCATGAGAATTGCTTCAACTCAGGAGGCAGAGGTTGCAGGGAGGCAGAGGTAGCAGTGAGCCAAGATTGTGCCACAGCACTCCAGCCTGGGCGATAGAGACTCTGTCTCAAAAAACAAAACAAAACAAACAAGCAAACAAAAAACATTGCAAAACTCTTCCTTCTTCAGTCTTGGGAAGGGCCAAATCTGGCTGTGCGGGATCAGGGCAGCATCACGCTGTGTGCCCGCTGCTCTGGCCCTCACCTGGCTCTGGTCACCCCCTTTCATGGCAGCTGTCCCTGCTGATACACGCGCATGGGCCTGCTGCAGGAGAAGATGGGCTTATGCGAGCAGAAGCAGAGGTGCGTGGGCTCCGGCAAAAAAGCAGAAAAGGGTGGGAGGTGGGGGGCATGGAGGAGGCATGGTGTGATGCCACCCTGCTGAAGAAAGGCCTCTAGGTCCCATGGCTCAGTTGACCTGTGCCCCTGATGCCACCCCTGGCCTCCTGCAGCCCCATCTCTGCTACCGGGATCTGCACGGCGCCTTGCTGTTGAATCCCAAGCATCCGCAGGCCAGGATGCTGCTCCAGAAGATGGTGGCCCAGGCCCAGCAGGCGCGCCAAGACGCGGGGATCCTGGCCGTGCAGGGCAGGCTGCAGCACGCACTGCAGCGCATCAACTGTGCCATTGAGAACAACCCTCTGGACCCCAGTCTCTTCCTCTTCCGGTACTGCATGGGAAGGTGCTGGCCTTGGGTCCCAGGCCCTGCCCAGCCACAGACTTTCCGTGTGGTTTAAGGAGAGTCCCTGACCCTCTCTAGGCCTCAGTTTCCCCAGCTAGCCTCTAACAGTCTTTCCCTACTTCCTACTGGGTTAAGGCATTACATAGGTGGTCTCTTACAGCTGGAAGAGGGATGGCAACAAATGTCCCAGTTACCCCAGGAATCCTAGAGCCCCAGCCTGCTAAGCAGTTCACACTGGGTGCTGAGCCCAGCTCAGTGGATGAGACTCAGGCTTGAGTCTGGTCCCCAGGAACTTACCACATCCTGCTGCATTTCGGAGGGAGCGCCGCTGCCCTGGCAGGAGTGACTCCGGGCCGTTGTCCACCCAGTCAACCTCTCGCTATGCCAAGGGGCTGGGCTCAGTATCCCACAAGTGATTCAGTGACATGAGAGGCCACTGTGATTTCGTGCCAATTAACCTCTCCAAACAGCGGTGGTAAAACACCTGTTTCTTGTACAAAATGTTTTAATGTAGAGACTGGCATACACCTGGCTCCCAAAAAGAAAGAGGGAGGGTATTTTTGCAAAAAATAAAATGATCAATGCCTAGTGGGTTATCTGAGTAGCAGTCCAGAGCTGGCCCCACGGGACAAACCTAGCAAATGAGGTGGGGATGGCCACTGCCTCCATGGGTCAGGAGGTCTGGCCACTCACCAGTCGGTGGGGGTGCACTGGCCCTCATGTCCCTCCTACCGTCTGCCACGCCGTCCCCCACAGGGGCACCATGTACCGACGGCTTCAGGAGTTTGATGGGGCAGTGGAGGACTTCCTGAAGGTGCTGGACATGGTGACCGAGGACCAGGAGGACATGATGCGGCAGGCGCAGCGCCAGCTGTTGCTTACCTACAACGACTTTGCTGTGCACTGCTACAGGCAGGGCGCCTACCAGGAGGGCGTGCTGCTGCTGAACAAGGCCCTCCGGGACGAGCAGCAGGAGAAAGGGCTCTACATCAACCGAGGCGGTGCGCAGCGACCGGGGCGTTGGGGAGGGGATGCGGGGAGCCTAGCCATCTTTAAGGCCCCCACTGGGCACTTGAGGGCCCTGCGGGGGAAGGAGGAAGGGAGAGAGGAAGGAAGCGAGGGAAGAGGAAATGTAATAGTCTCAGTATCCCAGGAACACACTCTGGGAAATGGTACCTTAGACAAACTGGTTCCAGACTCCTTAAAATGCTCCAACAGGCGGCTGGGGAACAGTGCCCAGACGCCCAGAAAACTAGAGGGGACGGGGACCGTGACCGCCGATGGGGGTTATCAGCCACCAGTTTCAGGCCCTGGCCCCGGGGCTGGATGAGGCGGCCGGTCGTTCTCCCTGTAATCCCACACTTTGTGAGGCCGAGGCCTAGGCAGGTGGATTGCCCGAGGTTGGGAGTTTTTTGAGACCAATCTGGCCAATATGGTGAAACCCATCTCTATTAAAAATATCAAAAAAATTAGCTGGGTGTGGTGGCATGCACCTGTAATCCCAGCTAGTTGGGATGTCGGGGAGCTGAGGCGGGGGAATCCCTTGAGCCAGGAGAGCAGGAGCTTGCAGTGAGCCAAGATGTGCCACTGCACTCCAGCCTGGGCGACGAGAGCAAGACTCCATCCCACCCCGCCTCCTCCCCCCCAAAAAAAAAGCTCCTCCCCAGTTATGCTTCCTTTTTTTTTTTAAACGGAGTCTCGCTCTGTCACCCAGGCTGGAGTGCAATTGCACAATCTCAGCTCACTTCAACCTCCACCTCCTGGGTTCAAGCAATTCTCCTGCCCAGCTTCCCAAGTAGCTGGGATTACAGGCGACTGCCACACACCCAGCTAATTTTGTATTTTAGTAGAGACGGGGTTTCACCATCCTGGCCAGCT